CCCCCCCCCCACAGCTCCCCCTCGGAATCCACCTCGGAGTCCCGCTCCCGCTCCCGCTCCCCTTCCCCCGGCCACGAGGAGAAGATCACCTTCATCACCAGCTTTGGGGGCAGCGATGAAGAGGCAGCCTCCGCTCAATCCGCAGCCGGCGTCCCCGGCAAAACACCGGGCAAAGCACGCGGCGCCGTGGGGCAGCAGGGCAGCGCCAGCGCAGGTCATAGCGCCTCGTCCCGGTCGGTAACGCTATGGGGTGGAGGATTGAGGGGTTGGGGGGTTTGGGGTCACGGCGTTGAGTGGAACGGTGTGGGGTTGGGTCTTGAGTGGAGGGTCTTTGGGGATGGGACATCGGGGCTGGAGTGGAAGGGATTTGGGATTGGGTCTTGAGTTGAGGGTCTTTGGGGCCATGCTGTTGGATCTGGAGGGTCTTTGGGGCTGTGCCATCGGGTCTGAAGGGTTTGTGGGGCCACAGCTTTGGGTCTTGAGTGGAGGAGTCTTGAGTTGATGGTCTTTAGTTGAGAGTCTTGAGGGGAGGAATTGTGGGGTTGAGTCTTGAGTGGAAGAGATTTGGGTCTTGAGTTGAGCGTCTCTGGGGGCATAGCATGGACTCTTGACTTGAGGGGTGTTTGGGGATGTGGCTTTGGGTCTTGAGGAAATTTGGGGTTGGGTCTTGAGTGCAGGGTCTTTGGGGCTGTGACATTGGGTCTGGAGTGAAAGGGATTTGGGGTTGGGTCTTGAGTTGAGGGTCTTTGGGGTCACAGCTTTGGATCTTGAGTTGAAGGGTCTATGGGGATGTGGCACTGGGTCTTGAGTGGAGGAAGTTTGGAGTTGGGTATTGAGAGTCTTTGGGGTTGGGTCTTGAGTTGAGGGTCTTTGGGGCCGTGCTGTTGGGTCTGCAGGGTCTTTGGGGCCACAGCTTTGGGTCTTAAATTGAGGGGTCTTTGGGGATGTGGCACTGGGTCTTGAGTGGAGGAAGTTTGGGGTTGGGTCTTCACGGTCTTTGGGGCTGGGTCTTAAGTGTAGGGTCTTTGGGGCTGTGATATTGGGTCTTGAGTGGAAGGCTTTTGGGGACAAATCTGGAGCGGAGGAACTTTGGGGTTGGGTATTAAGAGTTTTTGGGGTTGTGTCTTGAATGAAGGGTTTTTGGGGCTACAGCTTTGGGTCTTGAATCGAGGGATCTTTGGGATGTGGCACCGGGTCTTGAGTGAAAGGCTTTTGGGAACAAGTCTTGAGTAGACGGTCTTTGGGGTTGGGTCTTGAGTGGAAGGGATTTGGGGTTGGGTCTTGAGTCAAGAGTCTTTGGGGCCATAGCTTTGCGTCTTGAATTGAGGGATCTTTGGGGATGTGGCACTGGGTCTTGAATGGAGGAACTTTGGGGTTGGGTCTTGAGGGTCTTTGGGGTTGGGTATTGAGGGTCTTTGGCGTTGGGTCTTGGGTGGAGGATCTTTTGGGCTGTGACACTGGGTCTGGAGTGGAGGAAGTTTGGGGTTGGGTCTTGAGTGGAAGGGATTTGGGTCTTGAGTTGAGGGTCTTTGGGGCCGTGCTGTTGGATCTGGAGGGTCTTTGGGGCCACGTCTCGCTGGAGGATCTCCGTGTCCTCCTGGCTGTTTCTGACCCCACCTTCCCCTTCCAGGCGCCGCTCTTCGTCCTCCTCCTCCTCTCCGTCCTCCTCCTCGTCCTCCAGCTCCCGCTCCAGCTCCCGCTCGCACCGCGCCGCCCCCCACCACCGCTGCGGCCGTTACCGCCGCTCCCGCAGCCGCCGCTACTCGCGCTCGCGCTCCCGCAGCCGCCGCTATTCCGGAGGGGGCTCCCGTGATGGCCGCCGCCGTTCCCGTTCCTATTCCCCGGATAGAGGGCATCGCTACGGCGCCCGGCGGCGATCCCGGTGTGTCCCGCCGTCCTGCCGTGGGGGTGGGAGGTTGGGTTGGGTGGGAAGACCCTGAGTTGGGATGAGACCCCAAATGGTCAACTGGGAAGACCCCACGTTGGGCCAAGACCCCCGTTGGTCAACTTGGAAGACCTCGCATTGGGCTGAGACCCCTGTTGGTCAACTGGGAAGACCCCTTCTTGGGGCAAGACCCCAACTGGTCAACTGGGAAGACCCGCATTGGGCTGAGACCCCAGTTGGTTAACAGGGAAGACTGTGTCGGGCCAAGACCGCAGTTGGTCAACTGGGAAGAGCCTACATCACGCTGAGACCCCAAATGGTCAACTGGGAAGACCCCATGTTGGCTAAGACCCCAGTTGGTCAACTGAGAAGACCCCACGTTGGGCCAAAACCCCAATTGGTCAACTGGGAAGACCCGCATTGGGCCGAGACCCCCATTGGTTAACTGGGAAGACCCCATGTTGGGCCAAGACCCCAAATGGTCAACTTGGAAGACCCCATGTTGGGTCAAGACTCTAACTGGTCAACTGGGAAAACCCTGCACTGGGTCAGGACCCCAGTTGGTCAACTGGGAAGACTCTGTGTCTCGCCGAGACCCCAAATGATCAACTGGGAAGATTCCGTGTCAGGCCAGGACCCCAGTTGGTCAACTGGGAAGACCCCACATTGGGCTGAGACCCCGGTTGGTCAACCGGGAAGACCCCTTGTTTTTCTCCCATCGGAGCCTCCCACTGCCCATCCATTGCTCTCCACGTTTGGGTCTCATCCCCTCCCACCCCCCATCTCCCCCTCCCCATGTCCCACAGGACCCGTTCCCGTTCCGCTGACCGCTATCGCCGCGCTGGCCGTTCCAACCGGCGCTGGAGCAGCAGCAGCCGCAGCGGCAGCGCCACGCCGAGCCCCGCCAAATCCGCGTCCCCGGTGCGCGAGAAAGCACCCAGACCCACAGCATCCCCAGCCGTGGGGGAGAAACTGAAAAAGTGAGCCCAAATCGTAGGCCAGATTGGTGAAATTTGGGTGGGTTTTTTTTGGGGGGGTGTAACACGGGGTTTTGTTTGGTTCTTGGCTCTGCCGTAGGGCGGACGCGTCTGCTGGTAAAGAGACGGGAGCTGCCAAAGTCAGTAAGAATTGAAGGTCGCCTCTCTTTCATTCACACCACAGCAGCGCAGCCCGAGGGACGCCGTGGTGGTCCCGTGGGGTCGGGGGGGAGGGGGGAGGGCCGGGACCCCCCCCCCCCAATGTTTTATCCCCATTCCATCCCATTATATCCCCCTGTAAAGGGGATGAGAGCAGCGCTGCTCCCTGCGAGCGCTATGGGGAGATCCTGTCCCAATGGTTTTCTGTGGTCTGGGGTGGGGGGGCCAAAAAATATGAGGGTGGGGGGCGCAGCAACACCACCACACCCCCCCCAAAATAAAAATAACGGGGCTACGGGGCACGGAGGGGGGTGAGCTGTCACTATTCCTATGGGGGAGGGGGTCTGGATGCCATGCTGCGGGCTGAGGGATGCCATGATGTGCAGGAAGGAAAATTTGGGGTGGGGGGGCGCTGGGGGGGATTTGTGGGACCCCCCCCCCCCCCCCCCCCCCCAACACCCCCCTCCATTTGCAGCCCAAACTGACGCCGCAGGAGAAGCTGAAGCTGCGCATGCAGAAAGCGCTCAACAGGCAGTGTGAGCCCCCCCTCCCTCCCCCAAAAAAAACCTTCTTGGGCCCCCAACCCCTTCTAGGGACCCCCACCCCCCAAAAAGCTCCCCCTGCTCCTCAAACCCCCCGAAATGCCATTTTTCCATCAATTTCCTGGTAGAAAAATAAGCCATTTTTAGCCCCTCCCTCCCAAACCCCACTTCTGCAGACCCCCCCCCCTCCAAAATCCCCCTCCTTCTGCTCCCCTAATCCCAAACCCCCTGAT